GCTAGGAGCTGCTTTTGATTTTTTTTATATGTGTCCACCAATTAACCTACTGGGATGCCTATTGTCCAAAATCGTTCATTGTCAACCACACTCTTAACGTATTTATGAGACTGAAGATAACTGAATACAGCTTTACCAAATCATCCTGACCCAACAGTGACGCTGTAAAGTGTTCAACTCTTTAAAAAATTGACAGTTCCACATTCTATCCTGATTAAGAATTTCCGTAGATATTTCTGCTAGTTTATAACTCAGGAAAAGATGAATTTTGGCTCTATCCCTTTGTCACCTTTTGAAACATCCAGTCAGAAAATCAACAACATGCTGATACATCTGTAGAGGAAAATTATTCAGAATAATTTTTTTCGAACAGAAAAGGGAATGAAAACTACATTTATTTTGTATTATTCACCATCTATAATCATTCAGTCGTAAAGTGCTCGGCAGCTACGCACACGTGATTTGGGGAAGACACTTTTTTATCCTGTGCTCACCTTTTACCAACCAAAGTGGACAGTTATCTGTTCAGATTAATACTTTGCATTCCCTATTGATCAGTCACACTAAACTGAAATACTCGATCTCTGATGACATGTCAGAAACAATGACGATGTTCATGGAGTAATATGATGTTAATTGGTGGATGGTGACTAGCAGTGGAATCCAGGTTGCGCATTCCGTCCTATTTGGGACTCGTCAGCTATCTGGATGTACCTGCATTCCACAGTGAGTGATGATTTTCCCACCACCGAGGCTGGAACCCAGTGTCCATAGTTTCAAACACCAAAGCGTTATCCACTAGAACACTTGGGCAGCAAGAGCCACCTCTTATGCAACGAATCATATTAATTATTTAACTCAATTTTAGATTTTCCCGTCAACTGATTGGACTAAAGTGGTCGGTCTAATTACTAGCCTAGACATCGTCGAAGCATCTGTACAAGAAGTCGACACGTCAACCTGAGACCTAGCACGGGAAAATCTAAAATTGAATTAAATAATATGATGTTATTCTCTAATTTCCATCCTCAGATATCGTTGAAGTGCCAGTAACAGGAGCGGCGAGACCTGTAAACAGAGACTGAAGATTTCTGTCCAACCAATTAAATGGAAAATCATAACCGACTGAGTTACAAATAAGAAAAAGGCGTAGAAAGAGAAGCAAATTTTCTTTTCAACGACAATGGGTTCTAGGGTGTGGGTTTTGTCCTGTTCGGAAATCATCATAAGTTGAATGTATCTGCTCCACAGGGATCGGTAGTGTTCTTATTTAGACTGGAACCCATACCCACTGTTCCAAACGCAACGGCATTATCCTGTAGGCTGTGTGGCCACGAAAGCCAACGCTTATGTAACTGGAATCAGTTTTCATTTGTTACTAATAAAAGAAATATTCCCATATTGAACCATAAGGAAAGGAAGTAAGCAGCGAAGAAAATTTTCTTTTCGACGATTCATTTTCATAAGCTGTACAATCGTTATGACAGTTAATAAAGAATTCATAAGATCAATCAAAAACTGGCAAATTTTGTCCTCGGAAACGTATTACAGAATGTAAGGTGTAAGCTAGAAGGGGTGACTAACTGGAGATTAGAAAAGGGGGCAGAATTTGGTATGACATCATAAGTGTGAGAAAATGACTAATCAATCTGATTGTGTAGAGTGGACGAGAGCCAGTGGAAAGACGGTAAAGTATTTTTGTGTAAAATCTATATGAAAACGCAGTGTTATAAATTAACAATAATAGACTGATAATAAAATATGGATAATGGGAATAACAATGATAGTAAAATAATAATATTAATAATAATGAAAAGAAGCAAAATTATAGTGAGAACTTTACTCTGGCCATGGCAGGGCGTTTGAATGTATGCAGTCCTTTTGAATGTAGAGGTCCCATTTCAGATCCCGAATAGCCAATTATTCAGCTATGTACATATGTCGTATGTGAAGCCTTTTTTTACGATATTGGGGGACTCTGTGTAGCACTGTAAAGCATTCATGTAAGTGGGGGTGCTCGATGTTCAGAATTGAAGAAGTGTTCGAAGATGGAGCTGCTAGTATTCTTTTTCTCTCTTCTGGCTAGCCAAGCTGGAGAGTGTTCCAGAATGCGTTTGCGGATTTGACATTGTTTATGGCCGATAAACTTTGCCCTACCGTCGCCAGAGTAACGTTCTCACTATAATTTTGCTTCTTTTTATTATGTAAGTTTACTATTATTATTTTTTTATAACACTGCGTTTTCATATAGATTTTACACAAAAATACTTTACCGTCTTTCCACTGGTTCTCGTCCACTCTACACAATCAGATTGATTAGTCATTTTCTCACACTTATGATGTCATACCAAATTCTGCCCCCTTTTCTAATCTCCAGTTAGTCACCCCTTCTAGCTTACACCTTACATTCTGTAATACGTTTCCGAGGACAAAATTTGCCAGTTTTTGATTGATCTTATGAATTCTTTATTAACTGTCATAACGATTGTACAGCTTATGAAAATGAATCGTCGAAAAGAAAATTTTCTTCGCTGCTTACTTCCTTTCCTTATGGTTCAATATGGGAATATTTCTTTTATTAGTAACAAATGAAAACTGATTCCAGTTACATAAGCGTTGGCTTTCGTGGCCACACAGCCTACAGGATAATGCCGTTGCGTTTGGAACAGTGGGTATGGGTTCCAGTCTAAATAAGAACACTACCGATCCCTGTGGAGCAGATACATTCAACTAATGATAATTTCCAAGCATGACAAAACGTGAACCCCAAAAAGAATCCATTGTCAGCTACCACGAAGCAAACATTTTAGTCTCACTTATATCCCTGATATCATGAAGAAGCACCGCAATATTATTTCTTTGTACCACACAATATCAGTGTTCCACATTACCGGTTAGCAATTTATTTTCCTTTCCTTCGTGTTACGACTAGAATATAAGGCTTCAGCCCATGAGCTTGGAAGTTTCAGTTGCTATGGTGTTAATATTTTACGAAGTAGGTTTCGTAGCCTCACACCTGACCTTGCTATTGGCTAGTAAACTAAATGAGGTTTATGATTGCATCAGTGGGCAGTCGAACGCAGAATACCTGCATGGTTGGAAAGTATTCCATCCATGAACCACTGATGCACTAGTCGACAGGAATCAACGTTTATTGAGTAACTAGTTCTACAAAATGAAGAAACAAACGAATCGATATTAGATTAGTGATATGCAGATCTATTGATCAGATACAAGACATCATTCAGTGGCTAGTTAGCGGAAGTGTGCCGAAAATTCAAGCAGTTCACTCTGGATGCAAACATAGTCTTATGAATTTTTCTGAAAAATGTTCCTGTTAGTTTGTTTTTTGCATTAAAGAACTCTTTACATTTTTAGTAGGAAGAAAGAAAATTTATAAATTTAAAGGCTCATCTTAAATGCGCTCTTTTAAAAAAAATACGCATTCAGTGTTCAATGCAAGAACAACAACGGAGACGATAACGCATGTATATATACATATATATGAGTATAACGAAATCATAATTATGCAATTAATTTCAAATCTATGCTTCAAATATCACGTTTATTTTGAGTAAATTTTTACAATTATTTGTTTTAATTTGCGTAATTTATTTTTGGCTCCAAATTTACTCACCTTCTGAAGCTAGGTATGTGTATGAGCGTATGCTTTGCATATTTGTTTATGTGTAGGTTAAAGATATTAAGTGTTAGGTACATTTCATTGTGTAATTTTATTTATGAAGAAGGGTATACAACAATTTTTTCTTGCTAGGCTTTAACTGTTGCTATTGGATACATTGAAAGAAAAACAAAACCGAGATTTATTGTATTGAACATTGTATACAAACATCATAAATGATCACACAGACTGATGCATGTCTAGTTGATTTGTTTCCGTTTTTTGTTTTGAGGGTGAAATTAGAATTAAAAATGGAACATTTTTGAAATGTAAATCATTGTTTTTAAAAGTAAATAAAATATAAACTAAAATAAATTTTGGCGGGAAAAATATTTTGAAATACCGTACAGTTTTCGTATCTTTTGAAACTATCCATTAGAAAAAAATTTATATTAGACAATAGACAATACAGAAAAAGTGAATAGAATAAAGGTTTTTTCAGCTGGTTGAAAAGAAGACTTCAGTTTGCAAGTATATGATTCATTTCAAAGAGGATATACGTGGTCAAAGGACCCATTTACAGTGTACTTTTGAAGAGTCACATACCATAACGAAGCTGCTATCTAGTGTGACTTGCTTTTCAATGACTCTCCAATATTACTTCTCGACGAAATTTGCAGTAATTATTATCACCATTGAAATAATGGTTTGCAGGGATTTGATTGACTGGTTACAGGATTACATCATGTGCTGACTTAGGTTAGAGAACTATTGGAAGACCATCAGGGAGTACTGCTAGACAGCTGTCTCATCCTCGTTTAGGATTCTCCAGAAGCACTCACCCATCGAGGTTTGAACCCAGGACCTTCTGGTTACAAGGCGAGGTCGTAGACCACAAAGCCACTTGGACCAGATCCAACTTCTGCCAATTTATCATAATTATTCGTTCCTCATGTTCCGAGTGGGACTTAGGGCCTTAGGAACACATCTTCACTACACTCGGTTTGCTGATATTACTTTATCCTGGGCTCACAACAGCCCAGAAGCTTTCATTTACCGACGACGTGATATTCTTCACCTATTGCATTTATTTCTCCTTTTATTTTGAAATTAATGGAGAAGTTACTTTTACACAACTTTGGATCTTACTTGAAAGGATTTAATGCCCCTAAGCAGTTTGTATATAAAGTATGTCCTGCTTCATAATATCGTTTCCTTCCTAGACAATGGAGCTAAACATGTCTGATGTCTTCCTTGACTACACCTCCGCCTTTTACTCTTTACCCAGGTGCCCTTTGTTAAATACGCTTTCCCTAACACAAACTGAGTCCTCAGCTGTCAACTGGTTGTATTCTTATTTCAATGGTAAAATGAGATATACTGTATAAAAAGGTAAATCTTCTTCTGTCTTGCTTAATGAACCTGGAGTCCCTCAGTATGCTGTTCTCTCTCCTCTTCTTTTCCCTTTCTTCTTGCATGACGTACCTCTTTCGGAAGACGTAGACTTTGCTGGCGATCTGACTCTCTCATTACTAGTAATCTGGAATCACTCAACCTCTACTTTTACAATTTTTGGCTCCTCTATATTACCTACTGTACTTTACTGCTCCCACTTAGTCTTTCCTGAACTACTCAAAAAGTACTATGTCATATTGCGAAGTGTATTAAAGGCTGTCAGTAGGGCGAGTGGTATGCCACTAATTCAGTTCGTTATTATCATGGTCGACAGACACCGGAACTCATTTGAGAAGTGGTCTAAATTCATATTTTCTAACTTTCAACACTCCCTGTAGTCACATCTCCCTACCCCTTTGTATCTCATCAGATACGACTAGAAGTTATCATAAAGGATTAAATGCTCGTACAACCAAGTACAGGAACTCAACGATATTCTATTTAGCCCGTCCGCTTTCTGTGTACTGGCTATAGAGTTAAACATGAAGCATACAAGTGACGACATAATTAGCGAAATAATTAACTCTTTTATCTTCCTCCTAATCGCATTTTACTGTTTCACTATTTCAATTACCGAGTAATTTTAACTATCAATATTGTTATCATCATTTTACATTTTGACTTTATAGTAACAGCCAATGCAAAAAGCTGATGTTATTAGTTCTGTTTGTCTATGCACTGTAATGATTTTTGCTGATGTTTAGTATTTTTTATTCCCAGTGGAACATAGGGCTTCAAGCTAGAGACTTGAAGTTTCGGTAGCAGTGGTGTTTATTTTTACGGGATGAGATTATTAGCCTCATGCCCAACCTTCCCCTTTTTACCAATCTTATTACTGGCTTATCAAGGTAAAGGAGTGCGTCGCCGGCCGGGGATCAAGCCCCGAACCACATGCATGGTTGCCTAGCGTCCTACCGCTGAACTACCGAAGCGTAGTGTTGAATAAATAACATAAAATATTGTACCAAATGCTGATAATTCCACACTATATCATAAGTATTGTTTCAGAATAAAGGAAAGTATTACTATTATTAATATTATTCATCCTCGGATCCATGGCTAGCTCACCAGTTCACATTAGAACCTGGTATATGACATCCCCATAGGTCCAGTCTGTCATCGTTTCCTTCTGCATTTTTCCTGGATGATAAACAGGTTGTTAGCTAATTTGCTGGCTTTCTGAGTTCCTTGTGTTACTAATTCTTTCTCCTTGGTCTTTTGATCTTCATTATCAGCAGAAAGCACCTGCTGATGAAAGTCTACACTAACCTGTTGGAAATTTTTTCGATGATGCTTTCACCAATTCTCTTGACTGTAAAGAAGAACTGACCGATGTGAGATCAATGTTAAGAATTTGGATCACTGTTCCTCATACTGAATAGTGTAGATTTCTACAGTAATTTCGGAATAATGAAGATGGGTGTGTTGCCTCCGCGCTCTTGGCCACCTTTGATATTGTGGCTTTATTTGCATAATAAGTAATGTTGTTGCAGTGTGCAGAAATACTGAAAATATTTCAATAAAATAGATTAAACAGTTTGTAGAGTAAAAGTGGATCACATAGACCACGAATTCATTTCTTTCTAGGTGTTTCTTTGACTGACCCATGAAATCAAGATGTTCATTAATTCCCTTTTATCCTCCTTGCGTTAAGACTAAACCTCTACACCATGATATGAAATGCTTCAAAGATGGTGAACTTCTCGAATTCTCTATTTCACAAATTACACACTGTTTGAAATGAGAAGTTACAGCATAGTTTTCTTTGGAATGTAGTTATTCATATTTCAATACATGATCTACCTGATATCGTAAATCTTATTCAAGAAAGCAATAGAGTTTCGTTTTTCATTCATTGGGAAATACAGAAACCTTTATTATAATGAATATCATATACCCAATGCCCAAATTTTTTAAAACCGTTAAAAGTGAACTTGGTTTGGACATATATAACTTATTCAAGAAAGCAAGCTGGATCCTATGATTTCATATACTGCTGATTGACTGGCAAGACTATCTGGATATCATTAATAACATAATCAGTTGTGTTTCTCGGTTAAGCAGATCGAAATTTTCCAATCACTGGATAACTGTTTCGAACTTTTGAGGCTAACTCGTTAACTATGTGCCAGGTTTGATTCTACGTATTACCAGTCCACCCAAGTTATTATTATTATTCCCCTGAGTTCCGGGTGGAACACAGGGTTTCAGCAGCACATCCTCATGTCATCCACTTCTCTGCAGTCCATCCCTTTTAGCCAGCTCCAGCATCATTAGCAAGCTTTCGTCTCCTCTTCACACAGATCTCCTCTATATCCCCCTAGAACCCACGCTTACCTGGCTGTCTTCCATTCAGAATATATCCGATACATCTCTATTTCTTTCGGAATATTTGTTGAGTAATAGATTCTTAATTGGTTTGTTCCCACGGTTACTTGTTGCTAATTCTTTGTGACTACTGGCGTTTCAGTACTGAGCTAGCGAAAGCAGATGTTGATCAAGGTCTGCAGCCTTTTGGAAACATCCAAGTAATTAACCAGAATTTGGATGGTTTGAAGTGATTCAACTCTCTGAGTTTAGTCAAACGGGGCATACAGTTGATGAGCTGTGTGTGTCTCAAACAAGCTAAATAGTCCTTCAGTGTGCAATCACTCTGATCTGACTAGCAAATAAGCATTAATCCTGGATATGTGAAATTTTCAAATACTCATATCAATTAGTTAGTAGTATGTACTACAGCGTTGGATTTCTCTTAGTATCTAACAATATTCTATGCACATGATACTTCTGTTACAGACAGTGATTTATGACTCAGTGTGTAGATCTTTGATTCTCTGTAACACATAGAATATTAAAATATGATCAAGTGTATCATACTATCATCCATCTTCGAATGGCGTTCTTTGATCACGTAACGGGATATTTGGTTTGTGTATTTTAGGTCTGCAAAAGAGACGATGAAGCAAATAGTGAGTGAAGATGGACACCTCCCACAACAATAAGAAATGCAACACACATGTAGGATGGAATGGATAAACCTATGCCTAACAACGTAATTCCAATTCAACGGCCAAATATATGAACAAGTTAAGGGAGCTCCCATGGCATCACCCATATCAGGTTTGATTGCAGAAGCAGCGGTGCAAAGGTTCGAAGACATAATCCTACCAAAGATCAAACCCGAAATTTGGATACGTTACGTAGATGACAAGTTTGTCATAAACAAAAGAAACGGGTAATACAAAACTCATAACTAAAAGAAAACATCTTCAACGACATCACATTCACAAGAGAAGAGGAATCCAAAGATGAAATCCCATTTCTGGACGTCTTAGTCAGGCGAATAAACTACAGGGGGATTAGAAACTCAAGTTTATAGAAAATAAACTGACACAGACCAAATACTCAATTTCAACAGCGACAAACCAATAACACAAAAAGAGTTGTATACAAACACTATTCGAGAGGCCTGGGACTCATTGCAGCACTCCTACCTTAAGGAAAACTGAAGAAAGATATCTCATGAACGTCTTCCAAAAGAATGGATACTTACGGAACTTAATCAAAAGACATCTACCCTCAAGTCAACCTACCAAATTAAAGGCTCCCAGAGCAGTCACAAAAAATCGCCATATATATATATATATATAAATATATATATATAGGACATCTCAGAAATCACTGCAAGACTCTTCAAACCCTTGGGAATTGATGCCGCACACAAACCAACAAAATCACTTCACTTAGCTCTACATCAACCAAATGACTAAACAGCGAAAGCAGAT